CTCCAAAAATATCTATAATGCATCTTTAACATAAATCCATAAAAAAGAGAATGGAATAGTCATTTTGATAAAAATCTTGGCCAATAGTCCAATTTTATATCTTGCTCATTACTTTTCAATTTCCAAAGAAAAATAAGCAAGGAAGAAAGCAATATATTATTTTGTGTTTTACCAGGTTATCAAAATAGAGAAACAGAATGCATTGGTTCTGTATCTGTAGAGTTACAAAATATATTTAAATCAATTACTATTAATGACTTCAATAGGAGAGAATAACAGAAATAAATTCCACTATGGCCACTGGTCTCCATATACTTCATCTTACACGGCAATTTACTGTGAAATATTTGGCATTCCCTTTTGTACATTTTTCAGGCCAAAATGAATGTTACTGTGTTCTCCCATTTCACACCCATTGATCAGAGAAGCAGGGGGCTCAAAACGGCTTTCTAGTGTCTGACAATAGTTAAAAAGATAGGTAATCAGAGGTACTCCATCTTGGTAAAGTCATGTCAACATGCATCACCATGTCAACATAAATTACCATGAAATGAGACATTAGAAGAAATGAATATGCTGGGCATAGCCAATGAAATCTGTGAACTTCATTTTGTATCATTTTAAAAATAAGCGCAGAGAAACAGTCTGCATACGAATAGAGTTAAGATTTTTTTTAATAAGATTGTTTTTTAATTCCCTGCCTTCACAGACAATGATTACTGGAGTTGTGGGATTTAAGTGCAGCCCTGCCACGTGGAGAACATATGCCTACAGGCAGACTTGGTGCTTGGCATTCACCACTGATACCTGTTGCCTCTGAATAGACGCCCCAGGGTCACCTTTTGAAAACAGAAAGACTGAATTCAGTGTAGTTATCACCAAATGCCACACACAAGAAAATTCCACTGAAATATAAAAGACATCCTGGGGCTAAAGAAAGTTATGACCTTGGGGCAAAGTCAATGCTGAAAGTGGTTTGACAGTGTTGGGGAAATATTCATGACTGATTCTGAAAGTGAGGAATATGTCAAAAAGGAACATCAGGATATTTGCAAATGCAAACACCATCGCAGTTGTACCTCCAGTGTGCATTAAGGGAGTGTTTACACAAAATGACTAGCTGAGCGCAGACTTCCTACATGAAAAAAAAAAATCTCCTTTGATCTTCAGTTACACTAACACATCCTTTCAGGAAGCCCCTGGGCTGAAAATTTGTCCATAACTCTGAAGGCATCTGACTCACTAACTCACTAATTCTGAAGGACACCTACGCAAACTCTGACCACACAGGCGTTGATGCCCACCAACTTCACCCTTTTGCAGATAAATGAGGAAGGAGAGGCACCTTGGCCTGCTCTCTGGGCAGTTGATCCCGGAAGATCCAGGGATCAGACACAGGACTGTGTGGGATGGTCACAGTCTCCACCTGGGACCGTCCACAGCCCTGGGCTGGGGGGCACCAGAGTCCCTTCTTTACAAGGCCACTTTCTCCCAGTCCTCTTCCTTTCTCCTTGACATCACTCGTGATTCAGGGGGCCTGGTTCTCGTTGACCACGCAGGCTGACCGTTCCTGGGCACAGAGCCTTCTCCACGTCGCAGCCCTCGCATTCGCTCACCGCTTACCCCTCTCCGTTCCTTTAGACTCTCTGTCCACACTCTGCACACACAAGGAACCCTGTTTTTCCCCAGGATCACTGCCAATTCCAGTCGGAATCAACAGGCTTAGTGACATGGCCCTGAAACAGCGGGAAGGTTCAGATCCCCCTGTAAGTTCCAGGGGCAGCGACACAGAAGCAGGCCTAGAGCAGGTCAGGCCATCGGGGAAGAAAACACCCGAGTCTGGGGACCCCGGGTCTTCCCGCAGCACAGCCTGATTCTGCGTGCCCTGAATCCACAGAGTCGAGGTCGCCCAGGGAGACAAGCCCCTCCGTGCGGTCCGAGCCGTCACCTGCAGAGCCGCTCTGAGAGGCCGCCCGCTGTGCCGCGAGCAGGGACCTGGGGCAGTGCGGGCTGGTGTTAGGCAGTGACTGGTCTGGTCTAGAGAAAGCACCCAACACTGGGAATCAGATTCCAAGGAATTTCAGTGTGAGACTGAAGCCCGTTTCCTAACGAGAACCAGCCAAACTTCAACTGTATCTAGAAGCAACCCTAGAAATTAAACTGTGATTAATGTCATTTGATATTAGACTCAGAGAAATACAATTTAAAAATATTAGATTTTATATGTGCTGCCTGTACCAGAAAGAAACACACACACACACACACACACACAAAAGGAAGAATGAAAGAAAGAAAGAAAAAGAGGGAGAAAGAAAGGAAGAAAAAGTTGGATAATGAAGAAGTTACACAGAAATTTAAAATGTGACAAGAGTTGGCAGGAATCTCTACCACCCACCTTACGAAGAGCGGCTGTTAGAAGAATCCCGCAGAAGTGGGAGACTTTACCACGAAAGCCCACCACACAGAAGCTTAATGAAAGATACAGAGGGGAGGCAGACACATGAGCAATAGCCCTTCGGTGACGGGAAAACGAAAGTTATTCCATGGCTGGTTAAAATTCTTAAATTACAGCTAAAACTATTCTAAAACCAATTCATATTCTGTTAAGTAAGAGGAAGGGATGGGAGGGAAGGGGAGAGAGAGAGCGAGAGAACAGAACAATTTTATTTCTAATAGAATGCCAGGGAACAAAAACGCATGAATTTCTTTGTGGTGATAATCATAAAGGTGTATGGAATCAACAACATGAAAACTCTGTTGTGGGGGAGGGTGCTCTCCCTAGTCAGTGGGTAAGAATGATTGATGACCAACTTTGATGTCATTTAGAACACATTTCCCATCAAGTCCAGTGATGCTTTTTTTGAAATGTCAGTATCATCTGTTCTGCGGGAAAGAGAATGACCTTTTAAGCTTAGAAAACATCGTGGGGGTTGGAATTCATAAAACCTCTAAATGTGCTACGCAATGTGGACATCTGTCTTACAGGACAGTGATGAGACAGGGTGAAGCAATCAAGGAAAACACAACCCAAGGATAATTAGAAAACTATCTGGGTAAACTTCCCTTCCCGAGTGTGGACTTTAGACAGAGCAATCTCACACAGCATTCAAGGGAATACGGGAGATACGGCACGAACTCCCCACTAGAAAGACCCCGAACATCATTCATTTGAAATCTGTCAGACCTCCCAGAGCCCAACTGCAATTTAGATTTTATTTTAGTAGAGCCATTTCAGAAAATGTGGGTACATGAGAATGTTTTGAACTCAACAACATTCATTGCTAAGCATAAAAATTTCCAATTTCTTTAGATAGGACAGGGTGAAAACATGTATGCTAAAACATACATGTGTCCCTTGATGCCCATACTGTAGATTTTCACAGATCTGAAGGTTCATTTATCAATAAGAACATGTTTTAATGTCCACCCAGGCCTTTATCATGACATCCAGAGGCATCCAATGAATAGTTTCAATCTTCTTGTTACTTTCAAAAATTATTCAACCAACTGCCATATATTATGTATCAGTTTTTTGTGAGTAATTTATTCTGTTTTTTTTTTTTTCTTTCTGGGGACCACACTGAACAGTATCATAACTCAGAAATGCTTGTGAATGATTGAAGCTCAGAACCACAGGGATCACTGAAAGCTTTAACGTCCAGACACTCTGATTTCTCAGGGTACTTCTTTTGAAATGTTGTTGCCCCTATGCAGGGAGAAATGGGACTAGGTGGGGGGGAAGGCAGCACTGAGATAAAAAACAAAAGGCACCCAAGCTAAACATCACCTCCTGACCTGACCTGAAGGCAGCAAATGACAGCTTGGAACTTGGGGAGCACTTCAATATGCACAGCAGCAAGCTGCAGAAAGCCAGCTTTACACATCATTAATGCTCTCAGTAGGGGCTGATGGCCTCACATTAGTTCTATCAGGGAGATGGAAAATAGAAAGTTGCTTTTCATTAAATGTCAGTTCATCCAATGCCTTCTGTAGCATGGAAAATTTTAAAAAAAAGTTGTTTTCAATTATATTTCAGTTCTTTCAATACTTTCTTCACTGGCATCATGAATGTTCGAAATTTTTCTTTGCAGAGAGAGGGCAGGTGCAGAATCTATTATACAAATGCTAAACAAGTGGTTATTTTACAGAGTGGTTCTTCAGAATGTTACTACGGCCCAGACAGGTGGGCTCTCTTGACCCCACATGGCAAAGAGCTCCCTGAACTGCCGTGAAAACCACAAGTCAGAATAAGGCGAGCCTCACGGCGAGTTGCAGGGCACATTCACCCTTCATCCCGTCTGTCCCTCTGTTCTTTACACTCAGTTCCCCTGGGAACAGCATGGCAAGCGCGGCAAGGCTGAGGGTGGAGACCTCCCATCGCACACCTGCACCTCCGCGATGCAAGCCAGGCTGAATCCCCGGGCGTCCTCAGGCGAGAAACGCTCCAAGTCCAAACACACGCAGGACCACCCAGAATGAGAAGATGGTGATCACCACAAGGGTGAGTCCTTGTATGGCCACATTCATAGTCTCCATTTTATCAACACTCTAAAGCATGTGGAGGTGGGGAGGCTCTCATATAAAGTGCCTGCTTTCCTGAATTAAATCACCATTAAGATTTATGCTCAGGGTCAAGAAGATGCTCATATTTCTAAAGACTCCTTCCAATGTGGGTGGTACAGTTATGAAAAAAGCTCCAAAAAAGCAACCAACTTATTCGAAAAATGGACTGAACATAATTTTAAAAAAAAAAAAAAGCTGCACACCAAGGCTCATTAAACACGATCATCAAGAATTGTAGACCAGATTTTCACGGTCATGTTTAGATTTTTGTTGCTTTTGAAAACGTTTCTCTTCGGCAGCAATGGGACACTAGTGGCTTGAAATGCACTTGAGATGTATCCACACTCCATCTCTGAAGGCTTGGAGACATGGGCAGTCATGGAGCACAGGGCTTAAGGAACTGGGGGAATTACAAGAAGCCAAAAATAGAAGAGATCTTAGTACTCATCATAGTTATTGAGATCTGTAAAGTAGGCGTTAGAATAGGTCTTCCCAGTGAGATGTGGGTTGAAGTATTTGTTTCTTTCCTCTAGGATCAAGTTGTTTTTGTTAAATGCCTGTAGAATAGAAGATAGAAGATTTAGGAGTACTCAGTAAGCAGTATTTCAGAAAGAGAATATAATAGGAGACAATTATAGTTGACCATTGAACAACATGGGTGTTAGGGGCACTGACCCTCCTCAAAGCTGAAAATCTGGATTTAACTTATAGTCAGCCCTCCATTCGTGTGGGTCTTCCGTATCTGAGGTTGGCCTGGACCCACAGTGCTGCATCCTGGATTCAGCCAACCTCCTACTGTGGAGTTTGGTAGTATTGAAAAAAATCTGCAAATAAGTGGACCCATGCAATGCAGTGTTGTTCAAAAACCTGCTGTATGTGGAACTTGAGCTCTCCCCTAAGCCTTCATTATTTTAAAATGTCTTTTCTCACTTACCTGCTTCTGCACATCATTTTCCTTGTTGAGGAATTGCCTCATAAGTAGAATGAGGTTGGTAGGTTTTCAGTCCAGATTATTTTTGAGCTTTACTCAGAAAGTCTACTTTTGAACTTTAGCCTGAAAACTTCCAAGAGTTAGAAGACCTAAATGGAAACCTCCAGGAAACCTAAGACTCTAGTGATTTCAAATTCATGAGCACTTTGAGTGTTACCACTTATAACCGAGTGGCTGTATAAGCAGCTTTTGGATCGTCATGGTACATTGATAAAAGAGTTTGAAGGAACACATTTACATAAATGCATGAGATTCTTAATTTTTCATTTTCTATACTTGTGGGAAGGTGACTGTGGTGGTGGTGGTGGTTTCTATTGCAGCCATTTCTGACACAAAAGCGCTTTCTCACTAAGAGAATAGTTACCCATACTTTGGGGCTTCCCTGGTGGTTCAGATGGTAAAGAATCTGCCTGCAATGCAGGAGACCCAGGTTTGATCCCTGGGACAGGAAGATGCCCTGGAGAAGGGAAAGGCAATCCACTCTAGTATTCTTTCCTGGAAAATCCCATGGACAGAGGGGCCTGGTGGGCTGCAGTCCATGGAGTTGCAAAGAGTCAGACATGACTGAGCAATTTTCACTTCACTTCATATACCCGTACTTTTAAAGAGCTGAACTATCCCAGGTAGAGGGTAAATTATGAGAGCACCAAAATAAAGATGTTAGGTAGGTGGCACAGCCCAAATGTTCAGGATTTATCTGGCCAAGGAGTCAGAAGAAAGTTCTAGAAAGACTCATTAGAGACTGGACAGCAGTACTCTGCCTTCAGAGCAGCAAGATTTCAGATCAAATGGCTCCTGGATCTTCAGTGAGAACAGACCAGCTAAATGATCTTCAGATGCTTGAAGCAAGTGATCACAGGTGAGCTGATGGGTTGGGATCACACTGAGAAGGGCCCCATTCTTGGGTACTGGAGGTTTCTCCTTGAAGACTCTTGCTCATGGGAACTCGTGTTCCTCCTCTTTCTCTGGGGGCTTGGTTCTGAGAAGGTGTGTGGGGTGTGTTATTAATTCTTGGGGCTTCATTTCCTGCCTCTATCACAGATCAGTATAACGTGCTGATGGCTGGGGAACCCAGCTCTGTCTCTATGTACGTGGGGGCCACATGGTGGTGAGAGGAACCAGCGAGGACCCTGCGGATCCTGGGACATAAGAGCTTCCAACTAGCTGAAGCTGTCAGGGCTGAAGAAACTGCATTTCCCACATGGGAAGGAAACTGGATTTTGAAAGAAGCCATCAGAGCAGGAATATTACGAGGGACCATGGACTTAACAGGAATATAAAAATTCAGATGACTGAATGAAATGATGGCATTTGCAGTGACACGGATGGACCTAGACATGATCATACTGAGTGAGGTAAGCCCAGCAAAGACAAACATCAAATGCTATCAATTATATGTGGAATCTAAAAAATAATACAAATGAACTTATTTACAAAACAGAAACACAGAAAATAAACTTACAGTAACCACAGGGGAAAGGTGGGCATGGGATAAATTAGGACTATGGGATTAATAGATACACACCATTATATACAAACTAAACAACATGGATTAACTGTGCAGCACAGGGAAATATATTCAATGTCTTGTGAATGCAAAGTGAAAAGTGAAAGCAAAGTCTCTTAGTCGTGTCTGACTCTTTGCAACCCCATGGACTGTAGCCTATGAGGTTCTTCCATCCATGGCATTTTCCAGGCAAGAGTACTGGAGTGGGTTGCCGTTTCCTTCTCCAGGGGAACTTCCTGACCCAGGGATTGAACCCGGGTCTCCAGCATTGCAAGCAGACGATTTTACCATCTGAGTTACCAGGGAAGCAGCACAGGGTAAACATATACAATATCTTGTAATAACCTATAGTGGGAAAGAATCAGAAACCATATATACATATAACGGAATCACTTTGCCATACACCTGGAATTAACACAGCATTGTTAATTGACTGTCTTCCAGTATATAAAGGAAACACTGACAGGAAAAATAGGAGACATCATTCACCTTGCCCCCACCCCACCCCGTGGGGTGCATCACCCCGTGACCTGCATTGCCACCACTGGGCTTTGCCGGCAGCCCCCAGGATAACACCTGCATCCTTGGCACGCCTCGCTGCAGCAGTGGCTGCAGTCCCTACCTTGATGGCCTCCACCGAGTCGTACTTGTCCAGTTTGTTAATGTGGTTGGTTATGCTGGTGTTGAGAGGGGCGGGCGCGACGGGATGGATGACGGTGGCGTCGTGGGATTGTTGCTGGTACCGCTGGCAGTAGGTGTAGACGAGCAGCGTGAGAAGGCAGCCCAGGATGGAGCTGCTGAGCCCCACGGCAATCATGTGGAACAGGTTGAACTCTGGGGAGACAAGATCCACAGTGAGGCCACCGGGAAAGGGACACGCTCCTCCCCAGCGCAGTGGGCTCAGAGGAAAAGAGAAGGACGCAAGGGGAAAGCACCACATTCCTTCCAAAACTCAGGAAATCATCGGACCCTCCTTAAAGTGTCCCAGGGACGTCCCCGGTGGTTCAGCAGTTAAGACTCTGCCTTCTAAGGGAGGCGGTGTGGGTTTGATCCCTGGTCAGGGAGCTAAGATCCTACATGCCTTGTTGCAAAAAAAAACAGAAACAAGATATAAGACAGAAACAGTATCATAACAAATTCAATAAAGACTTTTTTTATGTAGACCATGAAAAAAAATCTTTTAAAAATATAAAATGTCACTGCCACCAAAACGCTTCTCTGCAGTGAGGACACCGTAGTTTGTGTCAGTGCTTTTACGCATTATAACCAGTCTTTTGGAAACCCCCACATACACTAGCAGAGCCATTTTTTTTTCTTAAAGGCTTGAAGGAGACAGTCCTGTCTCAAGTGCAGAATGATCTTTGCTCTCTGGGGTCCTAGGGAACATGTTTTCCATGTTCCGGAAGGGACTGAGGGCCCCTGCATGCAGCTTGTCTGTGTCCCGTGAACAAAGCGAGGATGCATCTCACTGCTTCCCATTCCCGCTCACCTGCAAGCCTGAATACTTCCCCTATCCTTTATCACTTCATATTATTTAACAATGTGCTCTGATTGCATCATTGCTATGCTTCCATTACATTTTTGGAATATTAATATGCCTGTATTGTATAACATTAGAAAGTGCAAAAGGGTATACAAGAATAAATCTTTTTATTATTATTTACAAGAGGAAACGACTGTCCCATCTTCTGTACTGTGTTTTGCAGACACGAGGCACACTCACATGCCATGTATGCATGTTGTAAATGTCACCCAGGGTACCATTTCTTTTCACTCACATTGTATCTTAGAGACCTTATAAGTAAAATGATTCACTCTAAAAAACAAATGATTGGTGTCAAAGAAATATGATCTTTTAATGGTCATGAAATGACCCTCTTTTATACAGTGCTTTTTTCTACTTAATAGCATCTTTAAGTTATTTTGAGTTTTAAATACAAAATATTGAAAAAAAGAACTGATAGAGCCTTATGTCTCTAATATAGGATTGGTTTGAGTGGTATCAAAGTGGCATAGCAAGACCTGCTTAATGTCTGAGAAAGAATGACCGAAGAAAAAATAAGATATTCATTGTGTGTTGGCAAAACATCTGACAATCAAAATTTTAAGCCTTTCAGGAAATAAAGACAACATCTGAGCTGTGCCCGGGAAGCTGAAATTATTGAAATTCAGGTAAAGCAAAATATAACCTCAATGCTTTTCTGCTGTCTTGGCAATGTATAGCTAACCAGCTGCCTGAGAGTTACTGGCCTTATGTCTCCATTGCACAGGGCACATCTGAGGATCTGGCTTTTCTCACAGGTGTCCCCTCCATGCACCACCAGATGCCAAGCGTCACCCTTGCTCTCTCTCACTCAGATGGGACCTGTTGTCCATTCCGCACTCAAATGGGACCCCTGAAGATGCCTGCTGGGTACCACTGTGGGTGCCGGATGAGAAGACTGGGCCACATGGGGAGGTCTCAGGGAGAGAAATCAGTGAGTCCGTTTCCTGCTCCCAGCAGGTCCTGGCATATATGTTCCTTAGTCACCTGGGCTCCTTCCCAAGGACTCTGAGAGCTGCCTTTGCCTCACCTGGAATCCAGAGCACGGGCGGAGCATCCTTCACCCATCTCTAAGCCGCCTCAGCTTCTCCCTCTAAGCTGCGCCGCTTCGCTCCTCCCGGACGCCAGGTCCGGGGCTCTGCAGCTCTGGGAGCCGGATTTGCAGCCCGAGGCGGATGAAGATGGTGTGGAGGGCAGCCTCCTCCTCTGTCCTCTGTGAGCCATAACCAGTGTACTCCCTCTCCCACTGAAATGCTGAACTGATGATTCCGAGCACAGGCCTGCGGTGCCCTCAGCATCTGGGACTGCACAATCCAGGAGGCGGTTACCAGCGCATTCCACAGTACCACCCATTCCCTGACATCTACCTCAGCGTTTCACTGCTTGATTATCTGGTCACCGGTTTAACAACGGGAAAGGAATCAATAAGCCTGTGGCTTTCCTGATTTTGTCTAAAGCCTCTAGGGCTGAATCTGGGACAGTTGCATAAAGCATGCAAGGGTCATTCTACTAGCAACCACTAGAAGCTTCTAGTTTAACCCTTAAGCTGCCCTCAAGGTAAGCAGGCGTGGATTTCACACTTGTTGTCATCTCTCAATGCTTTAGCCATTTGGACCCTCCAGGGTCAAGGCCACATGGGGATAAAAGTACTTCTGTTGCCTATATTTTCCTCTAATAGTTCTATAGTGTCCAGTCTTACATTTAGGTCTTCAATCCATTTTGAGTTCGTTTTTGTGCAGGTGTTAGGGAGTGTTCTAATTTCATTCTTTTATGCGTGGCTGTCCAGTTTTCCCAGCACCACTCATTGAAGAGACTGTCTTTTCTCCATTGTATATCCTTGTCTCCTCTGTTACAGATTAGGTTACCGCACGAGCATGTGTTTCTCTCTGGGTTTTCTATCCTAATCCATTGATCCATAGTTTTGTTTTTGTGCCAGTACCGTACTGTACTGATTCCTGGAGCTTTGTAATATAGCCTGAAGTCAGGGCGCCTGATTCCTCCAGCTGTTTTTCTTTCTCAAACTTGCTTTGGCTATTTGGGGTCTTTTGTGTTTCTGTACAAATTGTAAGAGAATTTGGTAATAATTCTGTGAAAAATGCCATTAGTAATTTGATAGGGATTTCACTGAATCCGTAGTTTCCTTTAGGTAACAACAGTCATTTTCACAATATTGATTCTTCCAATTCAAGAACACGGTACATCTCTCCATCTGCTTGTGTCGTCTTTGTGTCTTTCACCAGTGTCGTACAGTTTTCTGAGTACGGATCTTTTGCCTCCTTATGTACATTTATTCCTAGGTATTTTATTCTTTATACCCAGCAAAACTGACTTTCAAGTGTAAGGAGAATAAGCTGTTGTCTCATTGTCTCAACTCAAGAGAACATTGTTCACAAGAGCCTTTCCCGTGTTGGAATGATCAGAGAACAAGACCAAAACAACAGGCAAGACCCGGACAATGGGCTGGAGGTGAACTTGCAAACGAAGCTACTTGCAAACGAAGACCAATGAGGGTGAAGGGGGAGCATGAAGGTTCTGATGGTGCAGACAGCACAGTGGCAGATACTGTGCTTTTCACACATGGAAGGTTGGTGGGGACTCTCTGTCTGTCTGGCAAGTCCATTGGCACCATTTTTTCAGCAGCATTTGCTCACTACGTGTCTCTGTGTCACATTATAGCAATTCTTGCAATAGTTCAAACTTTTTTTTATTACTGTTATAATCTGTTACAGTAATCTGTGATCAGTGATCTTTGATGTCACCATTGCAAAAAAATTATGACTTGCCGAAGGTTCAGATGATGGTTAGCTTTTTTTTTCTTTGGGCAATAAAGTACTTTTAAATTTATAAAAGTACTTCTGCTGTAGTAGTAACATATTATATTATAATACAGGGAAGATGTATGACTCTCTCCATATGCAGATACTTTGTCATTAGTCAAGTGAATCATTCCTGAAGGTTCCTGGAGAAGGCTGGGCCAGCTGACATCTCTGGGATGATTGTATAGTCTCTGTGTCTCATGCAACTAAAAATAGCTCTCAAAGTCAGAACCTTTCTAGAGGCATACATTTTTTTCTGTGTAAGTGAAAAATCGTTCCTATTAAATCTCTTGAATCTGCTTAGTGTGGCACTTTGCTTTGAATATGCTTTTTGCTGTTGTTTTTATTCAGTAAATCTAGAATAGAGGCCAACTACCCAGTGGGTCCAGCTGGCCAATTTTCTGTGTAAAGTTTGACTGACTTTTCAATGAGCTGAAAAAAGTTATCTGTGAAGTCCCCTCGATGTCCTCAAACCTCCTTACTAGGTAATCCTTTTTACTTGTCACCCGACAATAAGCCCAATCTGACCTCTTATCCCCAGGGCTTCTCTGAGGGCTCAGACCGTAAAGAATTGGCCTGCAATGCAGTAGACTCAGATTCAATCCCTGGGTCAGGAAGATCCCTTGGAGAAGGGAATGGTAACCTCCCCCAGTATTCTTGCCTGGGAAATCCCATGGACGGAGGAGCTTGGAGGACTACAGTCCACAGAGTCACAAAGAGTCAGACACGACTAGTGACTGAGCACCCCTGCAAACATGACCACCTACCCACCTGCTCTGCTGTGGTAGCAGCCTCAGGTGAAAACGATGAGTTCTGAAGACTGTGATTAAAGTTTCTATGACTGAATCAATAGAACCCTGAGGCTTGATTTGGTGTAGCATATGGCAGAACTGGCTCAAACACGCAAAAACGCTGAATCTTATGGAAGGAAGTGGAAGGATGGAAGTGGGCTTTCTGTCCCTCATAGCTCATATGGTAAAGAACCCGCCTGCAATGCAGGAGACCTGGGTTCGGTTCCTGGGTCAGGAAGATCTCCTGGAGAAGGAAATGGCAACCCAGTCCAGTATTCTTGCCTGGAGGATCCCATGGACAGAGGAGCCTGGCGGGCTACAGTCCGTGGGGTCGCAAGAGTCGGACAGGACTGAGCGACTAAAGAGAGAGAGAGAGAGAAGGGCCTTCTGTATCATGTTCTCCTGGATGGGCAAGGTCTTGGCAGGACTCCTCTGTCTTACCCTGTGAAGGCCGGCTGAGGAAAGCGGTTTGTGAATTTGTGTTACACCTGGAGCGTCAGTCACACTGCAGAAACGTCAGCTGGCTGCCCCCAGGTTCTGCCTTGAAACCCCTCTGGATGGGGACACTCTCTATAAACTCTGCGGCTCTGTGGACCCATCTAAGACTGTTGCCTGGACAGGGCTTCTGTGGCTGCACACACCCTCCACTGGGACACTCGGCACCCGGACCCTTTTCTCGCTGGGATTGCTGTTTAGTTGCTAAGTCGTGTCCGACTCTGTGACCCCACAGACTGTAGCCCACCAAGCTCCTCTGCCCATGAGATTTCTCAGGCAAGAATATCGGAGTGGGTTGCCAATTCCTTCTCTAGGGGGTCTTCCTGACCCAGGGATGGAACTTACGTCTCCTGCATTGGCAGGCAGATTCTCTACCACTGAGCCATCTCGGAAACCCGTGGTGCTCCGGGCTGAACACTCACACTGGTATCCCACTGCCTGGATCTAGACCCAGCTCCACTTTGACTTCCCTGTGAACCTCTTCTCTCTGACTTTCTCTCTGTTTATAAAATGCAGATAAAAGCTGTGGCTGCTATCCCTTCTCCACAATTCCCAAAACCACAGTCTCTGAACACTGATTTTTCACCACTCATCTGGCAGCGAAGCCCGACCTGACCTGACCGTCTGTTACAGAACCGACCAGAAACGCCAGGAGGAGCATTCGTTAGCTGCTTCTCTTCACCCACATTCCACGGCAAGGTCTTTAAAGAGACCGGGTACTATGGAGTGTGGTCCCCAGATCCTCAGCGGTGTGATACTGTATATGCCCAGTATCACCCTTCTTTACCCTGAAAAACGCTGACTTCCGAATCCTTCTCTACCGCCAAGGGTTTTACAAAAAGAACTGTGGGCTGCGGCACCCACAGGAACAAACTTTGTGGGGATGAAATAGGATACCTTCTGTCATCTGATACAGTGTTGAGCACATAGTAACTGATCCAAAAACACGAAACCGCCAATTGTTTTTCTGTGAACCAACCCACACTCATCTTGCAGGTGGATCCCAAGGTGTGTGCCTGCTCAGTAGCTTCAGTCATGTTTGACTCTTTGCAACTCTATGGACCGTAGCCCGCCAGGCTCCTCTGTCCATGGGATTCTCCAGGCAACAATACTGGAGTGGGTTGCCATGCTCTCCTCCAGGGGATCTTCCTGACCCAGAGATCGAACCCCGATCTCCTGTGTCTTCTGCATTACAAGAGGATGTTTTACCGCTGATCCACTGGGGAAGCCCAGATCCCAAGGCAGTGGTCGCTAGTCTGTGAACTCAGTGAATTGCCCCATGTCAGACACCAGACATCACCCGTCTCAGGCACAGAGTTCTCCTGGGATATGTCATTTCTTTCCAGACAAGTTGGAGCTAATAGAGTCCCCACTGTACGCACCCCTCACAAAACTGGAACGGCATGGGTGCTCAGTAAACACGACTGAACAAATGCATTAACAGATGGCCGAGTAAGCAGAGTGCAACTCTTTAGAGACAGTGAACTCTTTACCAGTGCAGTTAATAACTAAGTACATCCCCAAACACACCTCTGAAAATCCAGCTTCTTTCTGAGTGTGAGAGACCGAAGACCTTTGACCTGAGCTGTCTGGGACTCCCAGCTGGATCAGATTATGCTAGGAATGGTCAACACCTACACACAGGAAGACACTGGTCTTGTGTCTGGATACTGGCCCCCCACAAGCTGGACAGCGGCTGGGCTCTGATCGATGGTCAGCCAGCCCCTCCTGTCCAGACAGGATCGAACTAGACAGGAAAGTCCAAAAGCATCATGGATTTGACCCGGGGAATGCGATTTCTGTCATTCAGGGTTGCCGGAAGTCTGAAAAATATCTCTAAAGATGTAAGTCTAACCTTCTGCCCATAATAAAACTATCATTTTATTGCTGCAGCCCTTTAGAGATTTGAGGCTGGCTGCCATGGATTTACACTATAAATATAAACAAAGTGGTTGAATTCTGTTTTGCTCATGTGAAATCTAACTGTAGCTAATACCAAGATCACTGAATCATAAAGCTTACATCCACCAGAAACACCTGAAGGGTTGACTGAACCACAGAGCCAGACCCCTCTCAGTGAGGTTCTGATTCTGTAGATTGAGCGGGGCCTGAGGACCTGCATTTCTATCAAGTTCCCACAAGACTGCTGATCTAAGGACCCAGTGTAAGAATCACTGATGCAAACATCAAATACGGACTCCTTTGCATTTTTATTGCCAAAATAAAATGTGCTTAGATCGAGGAGTTTTTCTTGGCCAATAGCAGAAACATCACATGAAACATATGAGATTATAAACGACTGGAAAATATCAGAAATGCACTAGGAATTAATTAAAAAGCAGAACTCACCCCCACACCTTTTCTCTTCTATGCTGCTGGATCTGGCCACAGACACTTCTGGAAAAAAAAAGAGATTCAATCACAATGTATGAAGGGAAGCAAGATCACATTAATGATTCATTTACAAAGTGTCTAATGATTTTGAGTTTTATGTGAGTCAATGTTTCCAAAAGCTTAATCAATTGTTTTTTAAAGACACATTTATTTGTTTGTTTTAACCAACCTGAGATGTATCTGGTCATCTTGATTGGAAAGGGGTGAGATTCATTGCAGCAATGAGAAAATACTATGGTCTCCCAGACAGAATCCAGGGTACTTGTTTCAAAAAAACAAGGGTGGAGTTTGTGCAGATTTTCTGTTACAATGTATTCTGCTCGCTGTGGAACAAGGCAATGTTTGCCTGCAGCATTTCTGCCTCAGATTTTTTGTCTCATCAAAACCAGTGTTGTCACATTCCCTGGGGAGGGAGACCATTCCACTAGAGCTCAAAGGAAACTGACTCAACAAATAATTTTCCTACTCAGAGCTCATCCAGGCTGTTTTCCATGCTTATGTGAAACCCACAGGCAGGATGCCAATAAAAGGAGATCCACCTAAATGTTTAACTCCCAAGGATACACACCATTTCAGGAATCCAGAAATGCTCCTGATTTTTCATTCAATAGCAAGAATTAAAAACATGTCTATGGTTGAAAAGGAAACAATAATAAACACTCCTGCAGGTCTAGACAATAGAAGATTGAGGTGTCTTAGGAGGCCTAAACTAACTTTCTCTAAAATATGACTATCTTTTCCTTTAGCGGAGGAGAACAAGGTATTCTCTATTGCAAACTTTTAAGAGGTTAATCTCTGCTTTTGGTCCATGTCAGAGTCCTAAGCCACATGGTAGGAATATGTGAAATATTTTGTAAGTATCTAGCCCATGCCTTTTGGTTGGATGTTTAGATGGCATCACGGACTCAATGGACATGAACTTGGGTGGACACTGGGAGATGGTGAAGGATAGGGGGCCCGGTGTACTACGGTCCATGGGGTCACAAAGAATCAGACACAGTTTAGTGACTGAACAACAGCAGGTGCCTGTCTGAGCATGTGATGGGTGATAAGTTATCACTATTAACCAAACATTGACTTCACAAGGAAAGGACTGCAGCCAAAGGGCCAGCCAACCTCTTCTCTAAGACGAGAACAAGGATGGGTTTTCATTTTCCCAAATATACTAAGGTTACATGAAAAGAATGGTCCTCTTTTCTGTGTGCAAACAAATACATACAGCATTGCCAATGCATTTAATCTAATATTTAAATAAAACAATCTATTTTCATTTTTTGAACAAACTCTCTGATACTGTGAATGTAGTCAATAAATTGTAGAAGATATTGTGCTTAAAAAATCTTAAAACTAAATGGCCTAAATTCAAGTCTCCACCCACATACCTACAAATCCATGTATGTGTGCATGCCTGCTAAGTTGCTTCGGTTTTGCCTCTTTCTGACCCTAAGGACTGTAGCCAACCATGCGCCTCTGTCCATGGGATTCTCCAGGCAAGAATAGTGGAGTGGGTTGCCATGCCCTCCTCCAGGGGATCTTCTTGACGCAGGGATGGAACCTGCATCTCTTATATCTCTTGCATTGCCAGGTGGGTTCTTTACCACTAGCACCACCTGGAACTCCCACAAATTCATAACCACCTTGAAACCATAAGAACTGATTGAATGACCTCTTGTTTTACCAAACAGAACCTCAAAGAGCAGTTAAAACTCCCACCCATGAATCACTTCCTCTTGAAACATTAGAAGTGATTTTGTTCACACTAACAAGCATCTCTGCCCCCTTACCTGGAATGAAGTTGGAATCAAAAACGCAGGGCCGGCTCTCCGTGGTGTTTCCCGAACACTGGCTGCCCACGGGGAAGAGAAGGATGCACTGGCGGACCCGGGTCTGGACTCCAGCCACGTCACACTCAGACCAGTCTGACCACTCCGACCAGCTCTCTGCAGGGGCCCGAGGAGACGAGGTGGGGAAACAAGACCATTAAAATCTACCAACCTGGAAGCCTGCAGCTTACCGACACTGAGTTTGCATGTGATATTTACAGTTTATAAATAAGATAGACTCATATCTCATGACCAAGTCCAGTAAATAAAACACACAGGAGCATGAATCACAGATCTCGTATACCTTTGATTAGAAATAATGTGCTTAAAATACACCTTCTAAAACGCACATTATTTTAACGCTCTAAAGTAATGGTGTTAGATACCTTTATACAGGATCATTCATGCTCACATACTTATCTGGAAAATTTCTACAGGTCTCAGCACCCAGGCAAGAGAAATGACAATGAGAAAGCCTTGGCTGCTGAAGGGGGGGTTCAAGTTACTACACATATTAATATTTTCTCTCCTGTTAGGAAAACAGCCCTGCAGAGTCAGTACACCACAGGCAGGCTGTACTTGATGTAGAATTCATCCCATGTTTACTGTGCTTGAAGCACCAAAGATCCACGAACAAGCCTGGGTCAAGGTCAAAAGATGAGCCAGCTAAGGTCACTTTAGCCCAGAGGAGGAGATTCACTAGGATTTGTTAAATTCACCCGGGTACACAGACATGTGAAAAGATAAGATTAATACACATTTTAACTGGGGAGTTTAAAAAAATGAACTCTCGATAATATTTCTGAAATATTAATAATATAAAAATAGTGTTAGTACACACTTTGTTTTTTTCTTCCTCTTTTCTACACACTTTGGTTTTCTCTTCCTTTTTACTTGTAAGCATCCTCTTTGCAGTTCAGGGAAAATTTGGAAACCAAACTTGTGTTCTGATCAATTATAAAGGGTACAGTATTTCCTGAGAAATGTGTTAAGGTAACAGTTTTTGGAGTGACTGAGAATACGGTTTCTAAACACTTCTCAATATACAAGAAACCTGCAAGGAAAATCTTCAGGAGCTAGTTAAAAAAATACACACACACACACACGTGTTAGTGTGTTTCAAGGTTTAAATCAAATTCAGAAGAGAGTGTCTCATTTTCACTCGAAGTGGTCCCTATATGTCGGAAAACTAAACTATTCTTGGACGGGGAAGGCTGCTACAGGGTATCCACTGGGCCCTGGGGCCACCCAGCTGTGGGGCCTGGAACCCCATGCCCACGGTCCTGGGGGATTTCTGTGAAGCCAATCCATAAAGGCTCTCTGATTCCCACCCTGATTTTCAGCAACAAAACGTCAGTTCCCATTCCCTGCCTGCCTGCTCATCACTTAGTCATGTACGACTCTTTGTGACCTTAGGAGCTGTAGCCTGCCAGGCTCCTCTGTCCATGGGATTCTCCAGGCCAGAATATTCGAGTGGGTTGCCATTTCCTTCTCAAGGGGATCCTTCCGACCCAGGGATTGAACCCACATCTCCTGCATTGGCAGGTTTATTCTTTACCACTGAGCCAGAGGGGAAGCCCCTCAGTCCCCATTTCCAGCTTAAATATTACAAGAATGCTCGGTCATCACCAGTTTCTGTTGCTAGTTCTGCAACCGTGGCATGGTGGGAATGACTCCATTACATTAATAGAACAATGTGTTATGAAGTCACTTCACTGGCAACACAGGTGCTGTGTTCCCCTCTTTTAGTCTTACTGAGACATGCTTTTGTCAACTTCACCATTCCTCCATCAAAGTCAAAAGTGAAAGTGAAATCCGCTCAGTCGTGTCCAACTCTTTGCGACCCCATGGACTGTATAGTCCATGGAATTCTCCAGGCCAGAATACTGGAGTGGGTAGCCTTTCCCTTCTCCAGGGGATCGTCCCAACCCAGGGATCGAACCCAGGTCCCCCGCATTGCAGGAAGATTCTTCACCAGCTGAGCCACCAGGGAAGCCAAGAACACTAGAGTGGGTAGCCTATCCCTTCTCCAGCAGATCTTCCCAACCTAGGAATTGAACCAGGGTCTCCCACATTGCCGGCGGATTCTTTACCAAGGGGAAGGCCGAAACCGCCCTGTCCTCAGCGCTGGGCCGAGAAGGGCCGCTTACCCGGGCAGGGCTGTGTGTTGCAGAGCGCCTCCTCCGTGTGCAGTCCCAGGCAGATGTCACCTCCGTAGGCGGGGGCTGGGTTTGTGCACGAGCGGGTCCTCATATAGTGTCCGCCTCCGCACGTCGCCGAGCACGTGGACCAGGAGGACCAGCAAGACCACATGCCGTCCACTGGGAAGGGGCACAAAATCACAGCACCTCTGAAACCCACATCTGACCAAGCCGGTGGGGCTACCCAGCGTCTGCACCACAGGCGCGCGCCGGGCACACCACGGACCATCACACGAGGGCAGGCGGGGTCTTCCACATTCCTCCCCATGTTTCCTCGCTCCTCTCAGTTCTTCCAGGAAATGGTTCTAAGCATGTAACTTGCAAGCACGAGGGTGACCGAGGAATGCAGGTGTGTCTGTAGAGCGAAATCCAGCCGCAGGGCTGACCGTGAACCCGGTTCTATAGCTCGGTTCTTCCCCGGTTCAGGGGAAGCTCCAGCTATGGCCCCTTGCTGCCAAACACACAGGACAAGCCGGAGTCTAGGCTCCCTCTGTGTTCCTTGCACTTTACTGAACAAAGTGTAGAGTTCAGGACAGAGACACAATGTGTTCTCAGCACGCCACAGGTGCCTAATAGATGCTATATACAGAACACTGTCGTTATTTAGTCCTTAAGTCATGTCTGACCCCATGGACTGTAGCCCGCCAGGCTCCTCTGTCCATGGGATTTCCCAGGCAAGAATACTGGAGTGGCTTGTCATTTCTTTCTCTGGGGGACCTTCTCAACCCAGGGGTCAAAGCCACATCTGCACTGGCAGGTGGATTACCACTGAGCCACCAGGGAAACCCATAATGAGAAAACTCACTTTAAAATAAAGTACAGTGCCCCTTTGTGGACCCCAGAGGATGAAGGAGGAGTAACTTCAAACAGAGGGAAGAGTCCTGGATGAGGCAAAAATATCCCACCACCGGCTGAGCAGCTCAGCATGCAAAGCTCCGAGCTCTTCCAATCCCTCCGTGTTGCGTTAGGAATTTTCTCGGAGGTGGGAGAGAGAATTAGCATTTGCCCACTCAGCCCCTGGACTAGTACCCTCCCAAGTGGAAAGTGAAGAGGGCCACTCTGAATGTTTTCACAGCCCTCTGGGGAATCTTGGCTTTCAAAAGAGCTATTACAATAAGGTTATGTATACATGGTGCTGGCTCGACCAGCAGATCCACAAAAATAAAAGCAGCCACTAGGTCACGCTGATGGGATGTGTCTGAGATGGACCCCAGCCTAGCACCCGAGGGCCAGGGCAGCACCCAAGAATCTGTAGGAGTCTGCACATTCTGCCGGCGGCAGCGAGGGCTCCTGTCTGGATGGAGCCTGGGGAGGCGGCGTGGGCGAGGGGTCCTGACTTTCTCATGTTGCCTCCCGGCCCCTCTTTACAGCACAGATGCTAATCTAATCATGTGGCCCCACGGGTTCCCTCTTGGCCCCCTGGGGGAGGAGGGGCCCTTCCACTCTCCACACTGGGGCTGTGGGAAAGACATGACCTTTTCCAGCCCCTCAGCATGGCTCAGCCAAGAAAGCTGGGTAGTTTGGAGGGAAGAGTCTCCGGAGGCTGGAGAAATTTAGGCAGAGATGGTCTAGGAAGCGCAGAGTAGTGGGAGGAGCGGGAACATGACTGGGAATCCCCGCTACAAAGCTGAGGACTATATATGAAGTTTAATGTACATGTTTATTCACCCACCCAACTATCCACCCACCATCCTCTCATCATCCATCCACCATCCGCCCACAATTCGCTCATCATCCATCCATCTGTCCATCTAACACAGGCTCCCTAAGTTCTTGCAAGCCAGTTCCTTGCTTAAGAAATTCAGAAAACTGTTTTTTTTCCAACCAACTGAAAAAGATGCTACAGATGCAGGCTTCGGGGCCTTTAAAAACCCTGTGCACCGTACTCAGCATGACCCCTTATTCCTCACCCCTGCTTGTCTATATGGCCAACTCGCATCTGGCCCTGAGGACTCAGCCTAGGGGCAGCCTGCTTGGTACAGCTGCCCTGATCCCAGCTCAGTGGGTCTCCAGCTGATATCGCCACTGCATCTTGTCATCAACCGAACAGCTGGTGACCCTACGAGGATGCCCTTGTTCACAGGACGCCTCCTCAGGAAATTCTTAAGTTCCCTTCCAACCTGGAGCAGGTCACTGAGTCTTTCTCTGCTATGCTGTGCTGGGCTTAGTCACTCAGTCTTGTCCGACTCTTTGGGACTCCATGGGCTGTAGCCCGCCAGGTTCCTCTGTCCATGGGGATTCTCCAGGCAAGAATCCTGGAGTGGGTTGCCATGCCCTCCTCCAGGGGATCTTCCCAATCCAGGGATGGAACTGACGTCTGCATTGCAGATGGATTCTTTACTGTCTGAGCCACCAGGCAAACCCAAGAAGACTGGAGTGGGTAGCCTATCCCTCCTCCAAGGGATCTTCCCGACCCAGGGATCGAACCCAGGTCTCCGGCATTGCAGGCGGATTCTTTACCAGCTGAGCTACCAGGGAAGCCGGAGTCTTTTTATATTCAGTAAATAATGCACAGTGGGTCATCAAAAATGTTTGCTGAAGAACTGAATGAATAAAAAAAAAAAAAGGCAGATCAACTAACAAACTGCTTATTTTCTCATCCTTCACCAACCATCACTGGAGCTATTTGGAGCGTATGCCAGGCCCACTGGGAGCTGAGGGCGTGGTCAGGAGTGAGAGGGTCCTGGCCTCCTTGGGTGGTCACTGTGATGAAGTCGAAGGCAGGATCCAACACCAGAGCCCAGCACGCAGGATGGCCACGCAGCGTGGGGTTAAATGAAAGCTGCTTTGATGTGGGAAGGTCAGAGGAAGCGATCAAGGTGACAGAGCTGCACTCAGAGCCGGGGCAGGAAGAAGGCAGAGGTGGTCAGAGCGTCAAAGACCACAGAGGAGCCTTCGGAGCTGCGTCAGTACTCAACACCCTGCAGGGGGGTCCCTGAGGCTCACTTATGGACCCTGCGCTTGTGCGGGAATTCGTGGAATACGAAGTCAGGGCTCAGGAAGGAGACTGACAGCGCAGCTCCGGTGGGCCTGCAGGAAGGCGCTGCGCATTTAGAGGACTGAACTCAGGAGGAAGGGGACTCCTGTCAGCTGAGGGCAACCGGGGCGGGCTTGGCAGGCCCCTCGGGGGACAGCCCTGTTAACCGTCACTCTAGTGAAGGCTCTGGGGTATGAAGGGAGGCCAGTCCTGGGGGGCTGGGCCCATCACAGGCTGGGAGGGGCCAGCCTCCCAAGTCAAGGACAGTACACATCTTTCCAGATGACAAAGCCCAGCCCGCTTCTCCTGAGGGGCAGTGCCTGGGCCCACCATCCCTCAGAGGGGCTCTGACTATGATCCGGTTTCTTTTACGGCAGCAGAAACAGATGAACATAATCTGGTCTAGATTATATTTGTCTTTATAGCAAGGCAGTTGGAAGATTATATCTATATATCTAAACCTACATCTATAGCTACATCTATGCCTATGTCTACATCTACATCGTCTACACCTACATCTATACATCTAAACCTGTATCTATGCTGTGCTAAGCCACCTCAGTCCTGTCTGACTCTTTGCATCTCCGTGGACTGGACAGCTGGCCTCGCTCCTCTGTCCATGGGATTCTCAGGCAAGAATACTAGAGTGGGTTGCCATGCCTTCCTCCAGGGAAACCTATATTTATATCTGCACCTATATCTCTATCTACATCTGTATCTGTGTCTACATCTATGTTTACACCTGCATCTATGTATACACCTGTATCTCTCTGTCTATATATATCTGCCATGTCCTCCTCCAGAAGATATTCCAGACCAAGGGATTAATCAGTATCTCTTATGTCTCCTGCATTGGCAGGAAGGTTCTTTGCCACTAGCACCACCCGGGAAGTCCCATCTATGTCTACACCCTGTATCTATACATACATTTGTATCTTACATCCTACTCTCACATCCGTATCTATGTCTACATCTATATCTATGTCTACCTCTAAATCTATGTCTACTCTATATGTATGTCTATATCTGCATCTACACCTGTATCCACATCTACATCTACACCTACATCTATATCTACACCTATATCTATGTGTGTGTGCATGCTATGTCACTTCGATTGTGTCCTATTCCTTGCAACCCTACGGACTGTAGCCAGCCAGACTCCTCTGTCTACAGGATTCTCCAGGCAAGGGTACTGGAGTGGGTTGCCATGCCCTCCTCCAGGGGATCTTGCTGGCCCAGGGACTAATCAGCATCTTCTTATGTCTCCTGCATTGGCAGGCGGGTTCTTTACCACTAGAGCAACCTGGGAAGTCCACATGTATCTGTGTATATACATGGATCTACACCTCCATGCATACCTGTGTCTGTATCTACCTATCTATCACAAGTTATACCTCAAACATAAAGCCAGGGAAGCTGGGTGAGAAGGTCTTCCAAGCCCTTGATGTTTCAGTTTTTCCAGACCTCGGGACCTGCTCACCTGGGCAGGGCAAGATGTTGCATTCCTGGTATTCCAGGGACGGGCCCAGGCAAGGCATGCCCCCGAACTTGGGCTCCGGGTTGTTGCAGACCCGCTTCCGGTTCCGGATGCCCCGGCTGCAGTCTCGGCTGCACTGCGACCACGATGTCCAGGCCGACCACGCCCCGTTGACGGTGTGGGCGGAGTATCTCCCCGCCCGCAGAAAATCGCCGGACAGGCCTGCCAAGGAAATGGCCCACGTGTGATTTTGTCGGCAGCTCTTAGAGTAACCAGAGTCCAAACTAACTCTCATTCTGCAGCCCCTGTCTGCAACTACATTCTCAAATATCCGTGGAACAATTTTTACACGGCAGAAGTGAAAAATGAAATAAAAATAAAATTGCAGTTTGCCTGATAATCTCCTAAAATCCAAGTCTTCTATCTCCACAGTTGCTATTAAATACTGGGGCAACTAAGACCCCAACTTGTGAATGTGGCAAAGTCCTTGTACAAGGAACAGAGTTTTTTTTGTTTGGTTTTGTTTTGTTTTTCCCTTTGGTGATAGATCACTTACTGTTTTGAGAAATTTCTTTCAAAGAAAATACACCCTTCTCACTTGCACTGGGAATTCTGCAACAAATTGCCCTTGTGCAATTTGTGATTATTTTGATGAACATGTCTACTGCCTTAAAATATTAAGAAGTACTCAGTCATTTTCTCAAATGGAAGCAGGGTGACATGGGTTTTAACAAAAAACTCTCAAAGTATGCCATGAGGTTCTGGGTGTGAGGAGGCAGGTGTATGGATGGTTCTAGGCTCCTTGGTTGCTTACTTAAAACTTGTGGCTCAGAAACCTATGCGGGGTGCTCTTCAGAGAAAATAGATGAGAAACCTATTTCTCTGATGAGACAGTCCTTTTTGGTTAATCAATATAGAACACACAATTTAGCCTTGTTTTGTGTGATAGAAGCGAAACAAGTCTGATTCTGTATTCTCAGGAAATCAATACCAAGATGGGTGGCTGCTCATTAGAACTCGAAGCCATTAAGATACAAGAAGGATGAAGTATTTTTCAAACCATGCCCACAATATACTTTCAGAGGAAATATATCTTTTATAAATGTGTATCAAATTTTATTTAGCTTATGTTACTGTCATTAAAAATGAATGTTAATGTTGGTTCCATATATGTCCGAGAAAGGAAGGATTTAAAAAAATGTATGTTCAGAAAAGAAAATAAAGAAACAATGTCATTCTTTTTCTCTTTCTTATCTTTGATGTCATAAGAAGTGAGTGCATAGCCTGCTCTGAAATATGGGGATAAGTGACTGAATTGAAGACAGGGTTGCCAGATTTAGCGAATAAAATACAGGAAGCCCAGTTAAATTTTAGTTTCAGATAAATAACAAATAATATTTTAGTATAAATATGTACATAAGTGCAGGGGATATACCTATCTTAAAAAAAGACACAAGGAACATGTGTGTGTTAGTCCCTCAGTCATGTCCAACTCCTTGCAATCCCATGGACTGTAGCCCCCCAGGCTCCTCTGTCCATGGACTTCTCCAGGCAAGAATACTGGAGTGGGTTGTCATTCCTTTCTCCAGGGGATCTTCCCAACCCAGGGATCAAACCCCGGTCTTCTGCGTGGCAGGCAGATTCTTTACCATCTGAGCCACCAGGGAAGCACATGAAATATATTTATACTAAAATAATTTTTGAAAAACATCTGACATTCATGTTAAACTGTGCATTTTGTATTTTATCTCAGAACCCCAACTTAAGATCAAAGACCATCCCTTGTGGTTCATAGATCTTTAAAATGGGTCTTCAGTTACCTATTTCTTGGTATTCCATCACCTATCTTTCTTTCTCGCTAAAGCAGCATTTTATAATGAGTCAGAATGAATGTCATGTTGCTTGATTTCCTAGGTAGGTAGTGTTTATTCCTTTGATTTAAAGTATATACTTATTCAAATAAAATACTTCACTATAGTAGACTTCCTGCCCCCGTCCCCACCAAGAAACAATGAACAACTTGTATAGTTGCTGAACTACAGGGAACAGAATGGTTTGAGGTAGGAGACAGTTAATGTCAATGGGAAAACGACTGGGAGTGGCTCTTGAGGGCAAGTGTTGAGCCGCTGAGCATCCAGGCTGGCAGCTGCAGGAGGAGGAATGGAGATCTGAGTCCTACGTGTAGCTGGCGACCCTCACTCAGAGCCGCTCCTTGTGAGTGCAGCCCTACGACAAAGCGGGAGCAGACTCATGGCGCCTCCATAAGCTTATCCCACCCATGGCAAGCCCAACGTGGCGACTCATCAGCTCTGCGATCCATCAAAGCCAACCACTCTGAACCTAAAAATGATGTTGATGGTGACTGTGTATTCTCTATCACAGTCACATTGGGAGGATAACAGAGAATCATAAACCCAAAAGTGTAAGACATGTTCAAGCTGGTCCCGTGTAAGATATGACTACTACTGTTCTCATCATCTTGCTCCAAGTGCCATCTTATTTTCTTTCTAGGATTGCACTGGTTTTCTTAAATCAGATGAGCGTTATAGGAGAGATGAAGACAGAAGCAGAAATGAGTCTCTTTGGGATGGCCAACCTCACTCCTTTTTCTGTAGTTGAGACACCTGAGCCCCAGAGGGAGCGAGTGAGTTGCCTGGTGGGTGCAGGGGGGAGCGGTGTTAGTGGCGGAAGGTGACCATTCAGTGGCAGGACCAGGCAGAGAATGGATCATCTCATCTACCTTAGTGCTCTCCCTACATAAGCCAAATGGCATTGAAGGGATTTATACAATTATAAGGGGCAAAGCAGTTTCAAAGAGTATTAAAGGATTCTCACATACTGCCTTTTTTAGCAGAAAGATTCTTTCACAGACATAAACACAGATATGTACTTCCTTTGTCTTTGTCCGATTTGGGGAGTAAAAAAAAGGAAAAACTTATTTGCAGGTTATGTTTCAGTATAGTCTCTGACATCAACAATGATAAATATATATAATTGTATGTGAATAAAAGTGGTGATGGAAGAATGCAGGGGTTTCCTCAGTATATATTCTGATACTAAATAAACCTCCCATAAACTTTTCTGGACCCATTATAAATATGGTGCCATTTTGAGGGGTGGAGTCAGGGGACCACCCCAACATGTAACTGAATATTTATAGTAAGGGTCTTCCCCACCAGTTTGCTAATAAAGTCAGTTCTGATGTAGAGAGATCATTGTTATAAACATGGCTAAGCCATAATGAACAGGAAAACTCCCCCCACCCCCGGCCCCACCACCCCAGCTATTCTGTGAACTTGGAGATGAGACGGAATGCCTGTCCCTGGAAGCAGGTCAGTCCCTACGAAGTCGCTGACTCACCGTCAGTGGAGCAGCCACTGGTTCCATCACTAGAGCAGTATCGCATCTCAATTCTCTGTCTTCCCACCTCCAGCAAGTTTGGATCAGGCAGACGGGCTTTGCACGTGTACCGAAATCGCTGCTCGTAGTGACCCCCATTGTCAGAGATGTTGACGGGTGTCCAGGGAGTCCAGGGCGTGGTCTTTTTCAGCTCAGGGCACGGGTTGGTGTTACAAGGCTGGTACTCCTGGGAGAGAAAATGCATGACATGTGCTTATCATACTACAGAAGCAGTGCCTGGTGTGTCCTTCCTGGGGTGAAAGACAGCATTCTTTCAAACTTCAGGTCCTGACACCCACCAGCCACTGTACAAGGTTAAAAGCACAGTTTTTGGTCAAATTAGGCATTTAAGAGGAAGTTAGGGTTCAAGTTAACTCCAAAGGAACCTGCAGTTTCTGCATCAACAACGAGAATGAGACAATAAATATGATTGTATGTGAATAAAACTGGTGCATGTAATTACATTTATTGAATGTGAATAAAGATGGTGAAAGGGCTTCCCAGGCAGGGCTCATTATAAAGAACTTGCCTGCCAATGCATGAGACATAAGAGGTGTGCGTTCGATCCCTGGGTCAGGAAGATCCTCTGCAGAAGGAAACAGCAACCCACTCCAGTATTCTGCCTGGAGAATGCCATGGACAGAGAGGTCTGGCGGGCTACAGTCCACAGGTCGCACAGGGTCAGACACGGCTGAGGCGACTGAGCATGCAACAAAAAGGTGATCCCCAAGTCGTCTTCCTTTCACTTAATAATGCCTGAAAATGCTGTTTATTCTGATAGGTTTAGCTGTTTTTTTCTCTAAGATTATAGTTATTTAAAATGATGGAACCAATATTTGTTTTTAGGATGATAATGTGTTTGATTTGAGATTTACGAATAGCTTAAGCTCTGGATCACAGATTCAGAGTGTTAGGAAGGTAGCTATCCAGTTGATAACACAACGTGTGATAACTTTTAGTCTATAAGGAATTTCCGCAAGATAATGCGATGGTTTTTCTCAGTCTCAGCTCCCTTTACTCACTGCCAGGTGCCTTCCCCAACAAGCAAAGGTGGGAGGATCCAGGCAAGTGGGCCATGCAGTTGTGGGTGGTGCACTTTAGAACCATACACCTAGGTCTAACTATTTGACAAGAATTTTAAGCATTATGTCTCCAGAAACAAGACCAAACCTAAGGGGTGCAGAGTTTGACCTTGGATCCCAAGTCCTCCTTTTGACAGCAAAGGATGCTTCATTAGATGGAAAACGTACTAAATGTAATACATCCAATGATGGCCATACTTTTAAAACAATTTTATTAATGTTAAATATACATATCAAATAAGAGTTAAGTAGTTTTCTAACATTTATTATGAGAAATAGTAAGTTTTTCATAATAAATCATAGGTCATGGCATCCAGTCCCATCATGTCATAGCAAATAGATGGGGAAACAATGGAAACAGTGACAAATTTAATTTTCTTAGGCTCCAAAATCACTGCAGATGGTGACTGCAGCCATGAAATGAAAGGGCGGCTGCTCCTTGGAAGAAAAGCTATGACCAACGTAGACAGCATATTAAAAAGCAGAGACACTACTATGCCAACAAAGGTCCATCTAGTCAAAGCTATTGTTTTTCAGTAGTCATGTATGGATGTGAGAGTTGGACTATAAAGAAAGTTGAGTGCCGAAGAATTGATGCTTTTGAACTGTGGTGTTGGAGAAGACTCTTGAGAGTCCCTTGGACTCCAAGGAGATCCAACCAGTCCATCCTAAAGGAAATCAGTCCTCAATATTTACTGGAAGGACTGATGGTGAAGCTGAATTTCCAATACTTTGTGAAGAGCTGACTCATTGGAAAAGTTCCTGATGCTGGGAAAAATTGAAGGCAGGAAGAGAAGGGGATGATAGAGGATGAGAGGGTTGGATAGCATCACTGACTCAATGGACATGAATTTGAGCAAGCTCTGGGAGATAGTAAAAGACAGGGAGGCCTGGCGTGCTGCAGTCCACAGGGTCACAAAAAGTCAGACACAACTTAGTGACTGAATAACAACAAAAATTCTGTCCTTCTCCCTCCACCCCACCTCTTTCAGTTGAATATGTAGATATATATCCCTTAGAGCTAGCAATGAGAATTTTCCAGTAACAGGCATCATCTATTAACTGTGTACCACAGGAAAAGGATTTCAATTTTTATTCTTTACCCTCACTCTGCATTGGAGAAGAAAATGGCAACCCACTCCAGCACTCTCGCCTGGAAAATCCCGTGGATGCAGGAGGAGCCTGGTAGGCTACAGTCCACGGCGTCTCAAAGACTCAGACGTGACTGAGTGCCTTCACTTTCTTTCTTTCTCACTCTGTGTCTCCAACATTGACGCAGCGTCTCCACCTCCTGTCACCTCCATGCAGTCATGCTGCACTTTTGGTTAGATCAAAACCCAGAGTTTGCACTCACTGCTAGATGACCACCATCCATAGGTGACTGCTGTGGAGAACTGATTAATGTCTTTCTTGTGTCCAGTTCTTTCCCGGCCCAAGTCAAGGGCTCTCCTGTTTTGTGGGGATGGTTTTCTAGTCTCTATGAACTTGTCATGCATTCGTACCCCCTCCTCATCAGATATTTGGACACAGGAAGAACCGTATTGCCTGGTGTATGCTTTGAAAATAAAGTATTGGTAATATTGTACAAATGAATTCTGGTAGAAGAGAAAGTAGCCACGTGCATCCACACCAGAAGCCTTAATTGGAGGCCTATTTATTTATTTATTTATTTATTTTTTTAAGTCTGGCAAGGATTTATTGGAGGCCTATTTAAATATTTATTTTGCCACAATTCTAATTATTTGATAGCTTTCTCTACTCAGGGTCCATTTTAAAAATTTTTTTACAAGGAACCATATCAAAGGTTCTTCATCTTTGGGGCTTCATAGGCTTTTAACAGAAAACATGCAATCACTGCTTTCCTACTTTAATACTGCATCCCTTCCCCATCCCACATGGATGACCTCCATCTCCACAGCAACACACATTGGAAGAGAGGTGATTTCATTTCCTTTGTTTATAGGATCTTTTATTATGGCATCTTTCAGATGCTGCTTTTTAAATGAAAGGAAAAAAAAAGCCCTAGTGGGTGCCATAAACCTAATCGTGTGAAGTACTAGACAGAACATGTGTGCGCTTTTTTCACTTGAAATGGAGACCACGTGATAGGAATGCCTTCGACCTTGTCTCCGACCATGCAGGCTCACGGTGTGGAACACTGCCAGCCCCAGACTGAAATTCCATGCGCGCTCCCCTCCTCACTCTGTGCCAGCCTGGCTGGGCAAGTGCCCAGGGGCTCCTTGCCAAAATGGACTTAAAGCACATGCTGCTTATGGGCCCCTGCTCTTAGCATTATAACACGTTTGGTATCACCTGCAAACGAGTAAGATCCCATGTCTCAGGAAAAACAAACGTAGGAAGTCCAATAATTCTGAGTTTCCTTGCACCAGAAATCCTACCTCTTCTATGGAGATGAGGTTTTGTTTTTGAAGCAGATGAGTAGAGAACATATTTTAAAACCCGAGTTTGCCTCCGTGTATTGCTAACAGGCTCAGCAGGGAGTGGGGGGTGAAATTGTCCCAGAGGTGGGCACAACTAAAGGGTGAAGAAGAACAGTTCAGAGCCATTAGACCTAAACCTCTGAAAACAAACTGTCTCCCCTTGTGTCCCATTAACTCATCACCGTTCAAAACCCAACAGGAGTTTCAGGACTTCTTTCAACTGCTTTTTAAGATCTGATGATGATGCATTCGTTTAAAATATCAAATTTATTAAATCCTCAGAAATGGTATGACTGCCCTATTTTATATTAATAACCAAAATTATAAAGTGACTCAATTTAGTGGTGAGTAGTTGTATGGCTTCACTGTGCTATGAGCTCCAATTTTCTGAGGAATTGATGCTATAAGTAAAATAGAGAGACCGTGACAATCCAAGCAAGTCCACATTTGAATGGGCCTGGAACAGCATTACATTTAATGTTAAAGAAAGAATTTGTTTTAAAAGTGATTTCAGGGAACTAATTGTTATTACCTGCCACATAGGATTCTTAATATTCTCGTGGAAAAGCTAAGATAATAATTGCAACTAAATCAATCTCACTGCTGCTATATATCCAGAGGAATTAAAGTCAGGATCTCATAGAGATACCTACACTCCCATGTTCACTGCAGCATTATTCACATTAGCCAAGATATGGAAATGTAGGTGTCTAATAACAAATTAATGGATAAAGAAGATGTCACACACACACACATGAATATTATTCAGCTATGAGAAAGAAGGAAATCCTCCCATTTGAATAACTTGATTGGACCTTGAGGGCATTATGCTAAGTGAAATAAGACAGGTAGAGAAAGACATTCTGTATGATCTCACTTATATGTGCAATCTAAAAATGACAAACACAATATAGAGTGGAAGTTACCAGGGAACTTTCTGGTTGGGGGAAATGGGGACATACTGGTCAAAGGGTACAAACTTCCAGTTATAAGATTCACACGTTTGGGGATCTAACATTATAGCTTGATGATTATAGTTAATAATACTGTATCAGGCACCTGAATGATGCTAATAGAGTAGACCTTCAGTGCTCTCACCGTAGCAAAGAAATAGTGATTACATGGCAGGATGGAGGTGCAGACTAACTAATGCTATGCTGGTCATCATTTTGCAATTTATAAATGTATCAAATCAACACACTGTGCACTTTAAATATATACACATACACCTTACACAATGTTATGTGTCAGTTAAATCTCAATAAAGCTGGATAAAATAAAAATAAAGACAAAAAGAACAAAGGGGAAAACCTCATGATTACTACAGCAATTTTCAGCAGTTCTTCAAGCGTGTTGCCTGTATTCTCTCTGTCCCAGTCAACAGAAACACAACAACCAGGTATTTAAAGTTTGATCCAGAAACCTGGGAGGTACTTCCTGTCCTCCCTCACCTCTAGGCCAAGTCCTACATATACACACACACACACATATTCAGCCTCTTGGGTTCATTCTCTCCTCCCCATCTTAATCATCTTTTTCTCTAATTTAGGCCATGTCACCTCAGGCCCGTTTCATGGAATTAAAGCATGTATTTCACTGACATTTAATTGTGTATTTATAATTCAGCCTCCATTAACAGACTGAAAATTTGTCGAGACCAAGAA